TTATTTGACTATTAAGTAACTATTAAGTGGCAATTAAGTAGTGATGTTTATAAAAATTGAGCAGTTTCAGCAATGTAATTCCAGGTATTGAAATGGTTATATTTTTATTTATTTATTTTTTTTTTGTTTACACATAGTATAATTTATTTAATTATATATTTTTCCCATCCTCTCTTATTATTGTATTTATAAGCAGTTACATTATTAATATATGATTTATTTATTAAAATAATAGCTGAAAAAAATAAATAATTAATCACTGAGCAATGTGAAATAATCCTTTATAAATACTTATGTAGTGATTTGTATAAAAAAATCATCAAAAGTATTCAGTATGGCAAGACTACTGTATTTATAATTATAAAATGATATAAAGAAACAGGATCCACAACATCTCAAAAACATAGTGGCCTGGAGCCAATATTTAACTCTTATATGCAAATCATGCTGAAAAAACTTGTCACTAATAGTGCCAAGAATCATCACCTCTTTGTCAGCAGAATCAAGAACCTATGGAATAAAAAAAATCAATGTGTCAATAGTCCCAATTTGACATATCCTCAAAAAAATTGATTTGTGTTCTTGTATTGCCTATACCAAACTACTAATCTCAAAAAAAACCAAGAAAAACAGTTAGCTTGGATGTTGGAATGACAAAACTGATTCATTGAAAAGTGTTAAAAAATTATGTGATTTGATGAGTCCATATTCAATCAGTTTTTGCAGAGTTGCAGCTTTCATATGTGATAAATGTCAGAGAAAGAATTAACATTTCTTATTTGAGTACTATGGTAAGGCACAGTTCTATTTGAATATTCTGGAAGGGCTTTTTGTGGAATAAGCTGGGGTTACTTGTTTTGGTACGTGAATTTATAACAGGCAAAGTGTATTCTAAAATATTACAAAAGTATGTTATCTATTTATTGTATAGGTTAGTTGCTTGTAAGATGACTCTTCAAGAGAATAATGTCTCTTCCTATTATACAAAGATTACTATTAATGTTTGTGAGTTGGTAGGCATTTCTGTATTATTCTGGCCTGCATAAAGCCCTGATCTTAACTCAATCGAAAATCTCTGGAATGAGATTAATAAGAAGATATATAACTTATATAACCAACCAAAAAATATTGATAATTTAGAGTGCAAAGTAAAAATTGTAATATTCAATTTCACTTGATTATATTTATAAATTAATTAAAAGTATACTTCACCAAATTCAGACATGTATCAAGACCCAAGGTAGTACAACAAAGTATTGATATTTTAAATAAATAAAGAAATAGAGAAGAAAAAATTTTTTTAAAAAAACTTTTTTTTTATATATAAAAAATCATCAATAAATTAATCACTATTTAATTGTTTTGATACTTGTGATTATTCTTTATATATTATAGACTAAACATATTGTTTGATTTTGCTTTCTGAAAAACCATTGTCAACTCAATTGCAATATCAACCTTCTTAATATATTAAGAAAAATAAATGTATAAACTATATTATTGTAAAAAAAAATCCAATAAAAAAAAATATAATGATAAAAAAGAACTTGTCTATATAAAATAAAAAGAAAGGCTCAAATCCTATTATATCAATTAAAAAGAATAGAAAGAAAAGTTAAACAATCAGAATTAGCAAAAGAATTTAATTTGCAATCAAGAAAAAATAATACTCAACAGATAAAAATAGAAGATTTATTTGTTTATTACCAATATTCTTCAATATAATTTATTTTATTTAAAACAAAGAAGCCTAATAATTAAACTTTCAAAATTTTTATCAATATTTAAATCTATTTTTATTTTCTTATCTATAAAAAAACAATAATATAAAAACCAAACATGTCTCATATATACAAGTTAAATATCAACTTCTGGATATTATTCTGGCCAGTACTACTAAGAACTCTTCAGAAAATTCTATTTAAATCAAAAATTCAATACCAACTTCAAATTGTTTCAAATTTAAATCTTTCTAAATATTCTAATCAACAAGTCAAGATATTATTTAACTGATTTATCAGGTTAATAAATATGAAAGTTGAAAACAAAAACATTGCAATTGAATGGATTACAAAAAAACAGTATAAAAAACCACTATCATATAACTCAGGTAATAAGTTGTTAATTCCATAAATCTTTCCTAATATATATAACACCTATTCTTTTATAAACTATACCTACTTCACTAATGTAATAAAATGTTCAAGTTCATTAATTATTATAATAACTTTTTTGATATTACGCTCAGTTAGTTAGCAATTTACAAATCAATAACAATATTAGCTCTTGAACTTATTTCCAAAACAAATAAAAAATTGCAAAACAATAATTAATAAAAATTTAGAAACCTGTTAATTTTCAGAACCAAACTTATTGCTAATTAGCTATTAACAAGAATAAAACTTCACAAAAAATATTTAAACTTATATAAAAACAATCTCCATTCACAGTGTAAAATATATCCAAAGAATCAATCACATATTTTTATATGTACTTATGCTCTTTTAACAATTAAAAAAAAAATAAAAACTTATTATTCTGTTAAATAAAAACTCTTTTAATACAACCAATAACATTAAATCAATACAACCTAACTTTACTTCAATAATCACCTCCAGTATAATCAATTTCATACTTGACAACTTGAAAACTCACTCAAGAAAACAAAACTATGCTTTTTAACAAGACATATAAAATTCTATACAAAGTTTGATTAGAAAAGTTTGCCACTACTACTATATCATTCTCCTCAGGAATAAAATAAAAAAAAACTTAGCCATAACAATATAGCAAAATAATGTATTCCATAACACAACCTTCTATAAAGTATTTAATGCACTAGAAATCAATGATAACTTAACTAACAAAAAAATTTTGCTTTTGCAATTATCTTATTATTTTAAATAGGCATTAGAATTTAACATTACTAGTATGAATCCACCCACCTGGTGACAGATGGTACTATTAGCTAGTTGCAATAAACTAGAATTAATTTACAATGTATGTAAAGATTCTTAATGTAATGGCTATAAACTCTTATTTAATAAAAGTCTTGCATTTAATGCCTGTTTGTGATTAAAAAAAATTTTTTTTAGAATTTTTTATAAAATAAAATTAAATGAAAATTTTATAGCATAATAGATTTTTTAAATGGTTTAAAATTAATTTTAAAAAATAAAAAACTTATTAATTCTATAAATTTAATTTATATATAATAGAAATATTCAATAAAATTTAAATGAATCTAATAGTAAAATAATTCATATTTATATAAAAATTTTTTCTAGCCATGAAATGGCACTTTAAGGAGTAAACCGAGTGATAGGCGTTATTGTGGGATTGTTGAAAGATAGATTATTCTCTGCTAGTAAAAAACACTCTGTGGCTGCCATATTTACATGATAAAGCAAATCAGTAGGAGTGTTCCGTGAGCAGTTATTTATGGACATGTGATTTTTGATCGTGAAGATTCTTCGCGGTTACATCTATGCAAATGCAATTAGCGATAGGTGAAAAAATTTACCATAAATGTAGGAGCAAAGATGTGGAGATTCGCATTGTAAGATCCGCGTACCGGCATTATGTTTTGACTTTCAAAATTGGATTTATGCTAAATTCGGATGACATGATAACTTTATTATGCAAAATGAAATTTTTACTAATACTTATGATAACTTTATTATGCAAAATAAAATTTTTACTACTGTAATACTTATGATAATTTTATTATCCAAAATAAAAATTTTACTAATACTTATCCAATTATATTTATCAGTAGTTATTTTCGCCTGGTCTATCCACCAAACCACGATGAGCAAATGTTGGAGAAAGATACTTCTCAAGATTTTCCGGATAAATAAGAAGTAGATGAGGCATTGTTTCGATATTAATTTTTCCTGTACATTTCCGGTTTGTGAACAAAACAAGAACCACATCATAGTCGTTCATATAATTTTCTATTGATTTCATTGTTAT